TGTAGATGTGTGCAGGAGAGGACTTTTATCAATCATGTGAAGTTTCAGGTAGATCGGACATTGTGTGGTTGAGTTATAAGGACTTCCTGTTCCATGGCGAAGCGTTGAGGTTTGTCATGCCACCACAGACACGCCCCTCTGCAAAAACTCTAGATCTTCACAATATATAATCGCTAGAGCTTTCAGATGACACCACTCTATTTTGGTGCTGATACGGGAAAGTTTGTGGTAGGAGTTTGTTATAGTGTCAAACATGTCATTTCCTGTGCCCAGCAGGTGGCGCTATAACTGTAATTGGATATCGGCACGTAAACCTGGTTAGGTCAGGACTGTTATTAAATGTGTGAATTTTGAGGCAGATCGAATATTGCATGCCTGAGTTATAACGATTTCCTGTTTGGTGGCGAATCATCAAAGTTTACGAGGCCGCCATGGACACACCCATCGATGAAAACTCTAAAGCTTCGCAATTTATTATCACCAAGGCTTTAAGATGACAAAACCCAATTTTGGTGTTGATTGGATAAAATCCCTAGGAGGAGTTCGTTAAAATACAACGCCTGGAAATGGTAAAAATGCCACTTTTTCGCCGCAGGAAGTTAATAATATCTGACTTCCTGTATGGTTTGAGATATGGCTCCAAGAGACTTTTTCGTATGTTTTGGCATGTTTAAGGCGTGTGCCAATTTTCGTGCATGTGCGTGATTCGTAGCTCGGGGGCTCGTCCGTTTAATTTTTCTAGGTGGCGCTGTCGAGTCATTTTGCCACGCCCACTTCAATATTGTTATGTGGATGTGTTTAAGAGATGACGTTTATCAACCATGTGAAGTTTCAGGCAGATCGGACATTGTGTGGTTGAGTTATCAGGACTTCCTGTTCCATGGCGAAGCGTTGAGGTTTGTCATACCGCCACGGACACGCCCCTCTGCGAAAACTCTAGATCTTCACAATATATCATCGCTAGAGCTTTCAGATAACACAACCCAAATTTGGTGCTGATACGATAAAATTTGTGGGAGGAGTTTATTACTCCGTAAATTATGTCATTTCCTGTGGCCAGCAGGTGGCGCTGTAACTGTATCTGGATATTGGCATGTAAACGTGTTCAGGTCAGGACGCTTATCGAGCGTGCGAATTTTGAGGCAGATCGGATAATGCATGCCTGAGTTATAACAACTTCCTGTTTTGTGGCGAATTGCAAAGTTTGCGAGGCCGCCACGGACACGCCCATAGACGAAAACTCTAAAGCTTCGCAATTTAACATCGCCAAGGCCTTTAGATGACAAAACCCAATTTTGGTGTCGATCGGATAAAATCCCTAGGAGGAGTTCGTTAAAATACAACGCCTGGAAATGGCAAAAACGCCACTTTTTCACCGCAGGAAGTTAAAAATATCCGACTTCCTGTTGGGTTTGAGATATGGCTCCAAGAGACTTTTTCGTATGTTTTGGTGTGTTTGAGGTGTATGCCAATTTTCGTGCATGTGCGTGATTCGTATATCGGGGGCTCGTCCGCTTAATTTTTCAAGGTGGCGCTGTCGAGTCATTTTGCCACGCCCACTTCCGAAGCCCTTAACAAACGTAAATTTTCGCCACTTCTGAGGCGTGTGCAAAGTTTCGTGAGTTTTCGGGCATGTTTAGCCCCTCAAAACCGCGATTCATTCCGCGGAAGAAGAAGAAGAAGAAGAAGAAGAAGAATTAAAGCTGCAAGCAGCGATGATAGGGACCTCGCACCCGGGCTCACCGCCGCCCGGTAACCTCAGGATGACAGAGAACATTGAACAATATTAATTTAAGCCGATTTATATAAAGAACCTGAGAAAATCACACATTCATGCCAAACTTCCTCTTGTCAGCAGGTGGCGCTATGACTGTGACTTAAGATTGGCATGTAGATGCCTTCAGTAGAGGAATCTTATCAACCATGTGAATTTTTAGCCAGATCGGACATTGTTTGGCTAAGTTATATGTAATTTCCTGTTGCCAGCAGGTGGCGCTATGACTGTGACTCGATATTGGAATGTAGATGTCTTCAGAAGAGGATTTTAATCAACCATGTAAATTTTCAGGCAGGTCAGACTTTGTGTGGCTGAGTTATAAGCCAAACTATCTTCTGCCAGCAGGTGGTGCTATGACTGACTCAATATTGTTATGTGGATTTGTTCAGGAGAGGACTTTTATCAACCATGTGAAGTTTCAGGCAGATCAGAGATCGTGTGGCTGAGTTATAAGCCAAACTACCTTCTGCCAGCAGGTGGCGCTATGACAGACTCAATATAATTATGTAGATGTGCTTAGGAGAGGACTTTCATCAACCATGTGAAGTTTCAGGCAGATCGGACATTGTGTGTCCGAGTTACAAGCCAAACTACCTTCTGCCAGCAGGTGGCGCTATGACAGACTCAATATTGTTATGAGGATGTGTTCAGGAGAGGAATATGATCAACCTTGTGAAGTTTCAGGCAGATCGGACATTGTGTGGTTGAGTTATAAGCATTTCCTGTTCCATGGCGAAGCGTTGAGGTTTGTCATGCCGCCACGGACACGCCCCTCTGCGAAAACTCTAGATCTTCACAATATTTTATCGCTAGAGCTTTCAAATAACATCACTCAAATTTGGTGCTGATATAATAAAGTTTGCAGAAGGAGTATATTACAATGTAAAACATTTCATTTCCTGTGGCCAGCAGGTGGCGCTATAACTCTATCTGGATATCAGCATATAAACGTATTCAGGTCAAGATTGTTATCAAATGTGTGAAATTTGACGCAGATCGGATAATGCTTGCCTGAGTTATAACGACTTCCTGTTTTGTGACGAATCGTCAAAGTTTGCGAGGCCGCCACGGACACGCCCATCGATGAAAACTCTAAAGCTTCGCAATTTAACATTGCCAAGGCCTTTAGATGACAAAACCAAATTCTAGTGTTGATCGGATAAAATCCCTAGGAGGAGTTCGTTAAAATACAACACCTGGAAATGGCAAAAATGCCACTTTTTCGCTGCAGGAAGTTAAAAAATAACCGACTTCCTGTTGGGTTTGAGATATGGCTCCAAGAGACTTTTTCGTATGTTTTGGCATGTTTGAGGTGTGTGCCAATTTTCGTGCATGTGCGTGATTCGTGGATCGGGGGCTCGTCCGTTTAAATTTTCTAGGTGGCGCTGTCGAGTCATTTTGCCACACCCCTTTCCGAGACCCATAATAAACGTAAATTTTCGCCACTTCTGAGGCGTGTGCAAAGTTTCGTGAGTTTTCGGGCATGTTTAGCCCCTCAAAACCGCGATTCATTCCGCGGAAGAAGAAGAAGAAGAAGAAGAAGAATAATAAGAAACGGAGCAATTCCAATAGGGCCTACGCACCGTTTCGGTGCTCGGTCCCTAAAAACCGAGCAATTCCAATAGGGCCTACGCACCGTTTCGGTGCTCGGTCCCTAATAATAATAAACAGAGCAATTCCAATAGGGCCTACCCACCGTTTCGGTGCTCGGTCCCTAACTAGTGTTTTTGAGTGTTATGGATACTGCCTATGTTTTAGGCTAGTGTTATTTAAAAGTTGTTAATAATGAATGCTTCAGCAAACTGTAGTATTAAGAATAGTAAACTGATAAAATGAAATACAGTGTAGTTTTACTACAGTAAAATGTGGTGAACTGTAGTATAATATGCCCTATATTGTAAAAAAAAAAAAAACTATAGCACTGGGTAATTTGTTCACATTACAAGTGTGTTACCATAGCAACTATAGTATTACCACAACTGATTAATTGATGTACTTTACTGTAGTACTGTTCAAAACACTGTACCTGACTGGGAAAATGTCATCCACAATCTCATCAACAATGTGGAAGACAACAGAGACTAATTCACTTTATTTTAGTTGCCATGATAAAATAGGCTTGATAGTGAGATTTATTTGAAGAGTGAATTGTACAGTAGGCTTCTTTTTATCACAGTTACATTTCTGCTTGTGTTAGTTTTATTTATAGTTTTTTTTTTTTTTCGTATGATGCACCTTTTGGATGTGTAATAAATGTTTTTAAAATAATATTTGTTCTTTAGTCCATGGTCTATTCTCTTTGTCTTTAAGTGTTTGAAACTGGAAATATCTCATTATATAGCATACAGCCAAAATGTTATGGTTTATAATCATGTTAAATGTAAGTCTATTTTATTATTTTGTTTATTGCTTATAAAAAGTGCAAATCTTTTTCAAGACCCTTCTATACAGCTTAAATTGACATTTAAAGGTTTAACTAGGTTAATTAGGTGAACTAGACAGGTTAGATTAATTGGTCAAGTTATTGTATAACGATGATTTGTTCTGTAGATTATCGAGAAAAAAAAAAAAAATATATATATATATATATATATATATATATATATATATATATATTCAAAAGTTAATTTATTTCACTAATTGCATTCGGAATTAAAACTTGTATAATGTATACATGTCATCACTGGCTTGCTAGGTTTGCATTGATCTGTGCATTGCTCTTCAGTGTTTGTTTTTTCTGTAGTGACATTTATATGACACTTAAATTAAATAAACTAAACTCCGACTCAGAAAACTAAACTGAAGCAGTTTCAATTTACTAGAACTTCTTCTATGTTAAGCAGCTTTTTCACAAACTACATAGTTAAGGCGCTATAAAAAAGATGAATTGAATTATTATCAGGTGAATTTGCCAGATCTGCATGCAACCAGTGAAATACTTGTGTACTGAAAAAAATGTGAGCACTAAAAAAGCTCAGCTGGGAGCTCTGCTCCAACTGTCAAAGCTTTTAAAACATGCAGAGCCCTCAGCATGAACATTAATACATGATCAGCGCTTGGCTACACTGGCAGATTTCAGCTCACACATTACACAGTCTGTTGCATTTTGAAGTTGTGCAAACCTGTCTTTAAACTGATGCCATGTCAAAGGTCTAATAATGATTTATACACACACTAGGAAGGAAATTCAGCAGATTTTGAAAAAGTTTTTGATGAAAGTTACCTGCAGGACGATAGGCAGCTGCTCTGGTGGGTTTCTGTTCTCCACACCCATTGACAGCCACACCTGAAAGGCTGTCAGTTGTTCAGCAAAGAATGGACTGTGCTGTAGATATACAAAAGAAAAAAAAAAAAACTCTTATTGTAATACAGAAAAAAAATCAGGGCTGAAGTGACAGACAAACAAAGGATAAAACATTCTCTCAAAGAAGATATCCGAAAAGAGAGAGTAGTAACACACGTGTTGTGGTGATCCATCATGTATGGTGGTGAAGACTTCACAACTTTGCTGCGTGTTCCAGCAAGGATTTTCATGATAATTGGATTCACAGTGCTTTTTTCAAAGCATCTGAAACTGTTGCTTCAGGACTACCACCTCCAGAAATATCCGTGTTCCAGATTTTCAGAACCATACCTTCAAGGGTAAAGACATCAGCTATCCCCGATATTAGAACCACCTCCTACAGAAATCTCTAGTTCTGCATGCTCAAGAATCTACAGATCTTTTCTTCTCAAAGCTCAAAAGGCCTATATTTGCTTGTTCTATGCATAAAAGCCTGTAGGAAGATCGAGTTTTTTTTATCTACTGCATCAACAGCAGACACGTAAATATACCACGTGCCAAACCTTTAACAGAGACCTTGGCATAGCGTGTTTCAGTAAAAGATTTTCTAATGAATTACATGTTTGTCACTGATATTTATTATTAACAAAAACTTCCTCAGTTGTTTGTTATTTTAGAATAAGGTTTACCATATCAGATTCTAGTTTTATTTTTAGAAAATATAACAAAGTTATTTATCACAATCCTAAACTTAATCACCTTCATGATTCATGCCTATGCACTTCATTTTTTGTACATTTAGTAATATTAGTGTCTCTTGTTTACTCACTTGTTAAAAAATACACATTTATTACAATCGTGTCTTCCTTGTGATAATAATACAGTAAAAGGCTCTACAAGTCAGATGATCTCTTTATCATTCAGATTTGGCCACATAATAAACACCTTTATATTTGTATAATTTAATTAACAATATTTGATTGTTTGTTATTTTGACTGTTAAAGCTGTCTGGTGCCCCGTTTAAAAGAAGTTATTTATCTGATATTTCTACATTATCTGATGCCATCGTGTGAGGCTAAAATATCAATATTAATATCAATACCTAAATATTAGATACAGAGACACTGGAGCATTTCTAATCCATGATTCATCACCAGATCTCATGCATGTCAACTAGACAAACCAGCTGATCGGCTTGACTTTTAATTGCTTCAGTGTCCCTATATCGATATTCACACTCAGTCAGCAGCAGTAAGCTGAGTGAATTGATGACCTTCATGGCCAATCACACAATGGTAAATCAGCAGTGTTTAAGAACGTGCTCAGCAGCGTTTTCGATTGGTACCGAATTCCAGTATCGTGACAACCCTAATATATATTGTATAAATATATATATATATATATATATATATATATATATATATATATATATATATATATATATAGGTGTAATGTTACACTGGAGTCAAGGTTCTGTAAATAATGTACCTCGATTTTTTGGTCAAGGTTCGGTACCAGCATGAAACGATAGAAATAAGCAAATCTTCAGTGCTTCCTTTTTCTGTTTATTTTGAACAGTCAGTTTAGTCACAATCAGCTACATAACTGAAGAGCATCTTTGGATGAAAAGAGTAAAATAAACACAATAATGAAAATTAAAACTTTATAATTAGGAAACTGTGTTCTAAACAGTCAGAGATTAAGCTCAGCCCACTCCTAAAACAACATAAAAAATGTGTATTAAATTTAAGATTCGGTAAGCTTCACAACTGAAATATCTCTTTTAATTAAAAAATGGTAGCACTGTGTCCATCCAGGAGGTGTGTCCAAACAGCAAGAGCAGGAGTCTATTTAATATTATTCATGTAAAGATGGCACTTATTTACTCACAGACTGAATTATGTGCTCACAAGAAAGACAATATCTTATATTTCCATTGTTTGACAAACATGGCTGACCATTAAGGGGGTCACACACCGGATGCGCCACTCAGCTACTGTATCATTTTTTAAAGCCTAAATTCAGATACTGGATACTGACAGCGCACGCACAGCGACGATACCGAGAGAAAATGTAGGCTAAATAATATGTTCTTTAAAACCTCTTTTTGGTTCGCCGCAAATCTTTTTAAATGTATTAAAAGGCAAGCACATATCCTAGCCTTACCCTGAGTTTGTTCACACTCTGCCTGTATTAACATACATGCTGTAATTTAATATAGCTAATTTTGATAAATTAGCTCTAACTTTTTATATCTTTTTTTCTTTTTACGTGGTTATGCACGCATTATATTTCACACGCAATGTGACTGAAATTGAAATTAAAATACAAAAGACACTGAGCCATTACTACAAGTAAAAAAAAAAAAAAAAAAAATTGTACTTTAAAAGGAGAACATTGGCGTTTCTAAAAAAAAATTGTACTGAACTTAAAAAAAAAAAAACTTGCAGAACTTTGTTTTGCAGCAAAATTATTTTTATTATACTTTTAGTGATCTGCTTAATGCTACTTAAGCTCTTTAGACCATGCGCCTGACCGTTTCTGAGTGTTTCGCGGCAATGTCTTTAAATAAATAATTATTTAGGCCTATTTTCATTATACATTTATTTTTCATTATTTGTTTATTATTATGTATGTCACCGACTCGGTCCCAGTCACTGCCCTCACTGGCCAGCAGAGGTCCCCATCACCGGACTATTGAACACTACATCACCCACAAACCCATTCGGCCGGCTGATTACCGCTGCACCTGACTCTCGTTACTCCAGCTTACACACACACACACACACACACACACACACACACACACACACACACACACATAAAAGCAGCTCTCGCTCTCACTTCATTGCAAAGTCTTGTTCTGCCCTGCTGACATTACTTAGCGTACTTATCCTTGCCTGATCTTCTGTTGCCAACCTGGATTGTTTTCGACCTTGTCTTGCTTGCCGCCTGCCTTGATAATCTGACTGTCTTACTGATCTTGCTACTCGCTGCCTGCCACTCTGATACATGAATGCCAGCTGCCTACCTATCAACCTTATAAGCCTGTGATTCATGTGAGTTCATGCACCAGTGCATACTGTGTGTTTATTATTAAACTGTGTCAAATAAACATACTGCAAATGGATCCCTCTGTGTCAGCCTCCTCTTTACAGAAGACTTCACCAAACATGGCTCCAGCAGCCATGAAATTGTTGTTTACTGAACTCACTACCCAAGCTCAAGTACTCGCTACTCATCAACAACAGCTATCTCACCTCACTCGACTGACAGAGGAGTTGGCCAAAACCCTCCAAGGAATGAATATGTCAGCCCCAGCGCAGTCCACCGCCAATTACTCTCCTAACAACCCACCTGCAGCCACCGCATGCAATATTTCCAGTCCACGCCTAGCATTTAATGGCAACTCAGCTAAGTGTAAGCGTTTTTTGCTGCAATGCAAATTGTTTGTCACCCAACAACCTCACATGTTTTCTGACGAACACAGCAAGATCGCTTTTGTATGTTCCCTACTCGCTGGAAAAGCTCTCGACTGGGCCACTGCAGTTTAGCACGACAGCACTCCTACTTTCCCCACCTTCAAAGACTTCCTTCAATGGTTCTGTGTAGTTTTTGATCATCCTGAGGGGGGTAGGAATGCAGGTGAAGAATTATTACCCATAAAACAAGGAAATCAACCAGCGGCAGAATTTGCTTTACACTTCTGCACCCTGGCTGCGCAAATTGGATGGGCAGATGATCCACTTAAAACTATCTACCGAAAAGCCCTGAACCCCGAATTACAGACGGAGCTGGCTTGCCGCGATGAGGGAAAATCTCTGGATCATCTCATTGAGCTCTCCATCCGGTTGGATAATTTACTTCGCACACGAAGACCCTTACAAATGGGTTCTACCCTCCCCGTACATAATGTTACACCAACATCCCAAGTCATAAATGAACCCACGCAAATCGGTCTTACTCAGCTGTCTTCTGAAGAATGTGAAAGACGTCTTACGAATAACTTGTGCCTGTATTGTGGTCTTTCTGGTCATGTCAAGGTTTAATACCCAAATAAACCCCCACTCAAAACCCTATCGGTGAGTTCAACCACATTTACCTAATTTTTCAACAAAACTTTGACTGTACCCATCACCCTGTGTATTGACAAAAATATAATTCATACCGTAGCGATTGTTGATTCTGGTGCCCCAGGCAACTTCATGGATTACACTTTTGCCCTTGAAAACTCAATTTATTAATCTCATGTGACTCTCCCCTAGCAATCACGGCGATAGACAGATGCCCCCTAGGGGAAGGAACTGTAAATTACCGCTCTCCCAAACTCTCCCTCAAAACAGGCTCTCTCCATGAAGAAAGAATTGATCTCTATATCATACACTCTCCTCAACATGCCATAATATTAGGATGGCCCTGGTTGCAAGCTCATGACCCCCACATCTCTTGGAAAGAGGGTGAGATAATAAGATGGAGTAATTCTTGGCAATTGTTTGCATTCTATTGTTCCTATCGAGCTCAACGCCATATCTACCTGTAATGAATCCTCCATGAACCAAGATATCCCCATGTTATATACAGACCTAGCTGAGGCATTTAACAAGCAGAGGGCCACCAAATTACTTCCTCACCGTGAGTGTGATTGCTCCATTGAGTTAATCCCTGGTACACTGCCCCCTCGTGGGAGAATTTTCCCTCTGTCCCAAGCAGAAACTGAAACCATGAATTTATACATCCAAGAAGAGTTGAAGAAAGGATTCATACGCCCCTCTACATCTCCTGCATCCTGTTTCTTCTTCGTAGGTAAGAAGGATGGTGGTTTACGCCCATGCATCAATTATAGAGGTCTAAATGAAATCACAGTAAAATACCGCTATCCCCTGCCCTTTGTCCCAGCAGCTCTGGAACAACTACGTTCAGCCCAGTATTTCACCAAGCTCTATCTACGCAATGCTTATAACCTCATCAGGATAAAGCAGGGGGACGAGTGGAAAACGGGGTTCTCCACAGCCAGCGGTCACTATGAATATCTCGTAATGCC